TCTGTTTGAAGTTTAGTTTTGACCACTTGCTGTTCCCTGATTCTTTTTACTCCCCTCCTGTCCACTCAAAAATCTGCATCTGAAGTAATCTTTCTCTCTCGCTGCATAGAGCACTTCACTTTTTGAGCCTCTTCCCTGACTTCCTCTTACTGTCTTTTCCTCACCTTTAAGGCCTTCTCTGCCCTACAGCGTTTTGTCAACAAAAGTTATGTCGACACTCAAATAATAAAAATAGGTATTGTATGTTCACACTCACTCCCTCTGTCAGCAGAGAGCATCCACACTTGGGACACTAGCATCAACATTGTGAGCCATCCCACAGTCCAGCTCGACACGTTCTGCCACTAGGTCTTGTGGGAAGGCAGAGTGGATCACTGTGCATCTTGGGACCAGGCTCAATGTCCCATGATGCATTGCTTTCTGTCCCAGCATCTCATGGACTTCCGACTTTCTTTCACAGCATTTTTCGGTGGCCTTTATTTGCTGTGCACCACAGCACCTTTGTGAAAAGGGATGGATCCTGCACTGCTCTCCTAAGCTCAGATAACTGTCATTAACACATCTCAGATGGCAGTGCAGTTAATTGCAAAGTTCCTACCTGAAGAAGACTCTCAGTTGCCTGACATGCCGTGTAATATGGATAGGAGCAACTTTAGATTGCTTTTGGCATTCACAGAGCAGCTGCACAGTATACCGTTGCTTTTGGGCTCTGGAAAGAAGCACTGAATGGTGGGATCATATCGTCATGCAGGTGTGGGATGATGAGCGGTGGCTACAGAACTTTTGGATGTTGAAAGCCACCTTCCTAGAACTGTGTGCAGAGCTCGCCCCAGCACTACGGCGCAAGGACATCAGAATGAGAGCAGCCCTATCAGTAGAGAAGTGTGTGGCAATCACTGTCTGGAAGCTGGCGACTCCAGACTGCTACTGGTTGATCGCGAATCAATTTGGAGTCAGGAAGTCAATTGTTGGAGCTGTGTTAATGCAAGGGTACATCAATAGGAAGGGGTACTTTTCCATGGTGTTGCAGGCGCTTGTGGATCACTGTGGGCGTTTCACTGACATCCACATGGGGTGGTCTGGGAAGGTGCATGACGCACGCATCTTCAGTAACACCAGCCTGTATAGAAACCTACAAGTGGGAGCTTTCTTTCCAGACCAGAAGATTACAGTGGGGGATGTTGAAATGCCTCTAGTGATCCTGGGAGACCCAGAGTACCCCTTACAACTGTGGCTCATGAAACCTTACGTGGGACACCTGGACAGCAGTAAGGAGCGGTTCAACAATAGGCTGAGGAGGTGCCGGATGACCGTGGAATGTACCTTTGGCAGATTAAAGGTGTGCTGGCACTGCCTTTATGACAGGCTAGACCTCATGAGGAGAATATTCCCATGGTCATAGCCGCGTGCTGTACGTTGCATAATATTTGTGAAGCTAAGGGTGAAAGGTTTGCTCAGGGGTGGAGTGTTTAGACAGACTGCTTGGCTGCTCATTTTGAGCAGCCAGATACCAGGGCTATCAGAGAGGCCCAGAGTGGGGCAATTCGAATCAGGGAAGCTTTGAGGCAATACTTTGACAATGAGAATCAGTAAAGTATATCTCTGTGATTAGTGCTGCAATGTTACATTACATGTAGTTTTCCTAGGAAACAATAGTGACATTTGGGGCCTTACATTCCAGTAAGCAAATGATTAAACTGCCGTAGCTCACGAAAGCTCATGCTCAAATAAATGGGTTAGTCTCTAAGGTGCCACAAGTCCTCCTTTTCTTTCTGCGAATACAGACTGACACGGCTGCTCCTCTGAAACCTGTGTATGTATTGGTAGTGCCTGCTATCTCAATTTGTAGGAAACAAATAAAGATGAGTTACCATTCAAAAACTTTGCTTTCATTGCACAAGAAACAACACACACACACACACACACACACATATACATACATACATATACACAGAGATGCTTGGTGGGAAAGGAGGTGCCTGGGAAGGGCAGACTTTCAGAGCTGTGTGTAGGTCCAGCTATCGTTCTGAAAGTTGTCCAAGGCGGTGGAGTGAAGGGGAAACCAAGAAGTCCCGGAAAGTGGAAAGGAATGTGCGGGGCGGAGTGGGGGGGGAAGGGCATGGAAAAGTGTTCTGAATGTGCTTCAGGGGAGGGCGGGCACACATCTGCTCAGTCTGCAGCATTATTAAGGACTTCAGCATCTGCGTTTGATCCTCCATGACTTTAATCATCCGCTCAGTAGCATCCTTAACAGACTCCTGATTTTCTTTTCTGTCCTGCCTTTTGGCTTCCCTCCACTCCTTGTGTTCCCTTTTCTCTGCATTGGAGGAGTGCAGGACCTCCCAGAACATGTCTTCTTTGCTCCAGCTTGGGCACTTTCTTATCTGGCGGAGACGCTCTGCCGGTGTGTGTAGGGTGTCCCTCAAGGCCAGAGCACAAGTGCAGAAGCACAAGAAACATTTCACAGAAACCTGATTGTTCAGTTCACACACCGCATTGAAACCTTTCAGTAAAATACACCTTTTGTAACATAACCACCACTTTCTCACTGACCCTTGGCAAGCACACATCTCTGCGAACACCCAAAGCATGGTGAGTGTTGGCTGGGGGAGGGAGGGAGGCGCTCTACCTGAGGAAAATAGTACTCTGCAAGGGTTGTGGTGCAGCCGACTAGGGAAAAAATTCTAAAACTCTCCCACACTTTTCCACAGGCGGGGATCATTCTAGCAGATATCTTGCTGCTGAGGATAAGTAGGGAAGTGAGGGTACATCTATTACATGCATCTTGGTCCTTATGCTGCTCACTTGTGTGCCACTTTGGTCCCTGCACAAGTGATTGCCGAATGGCGCAGGAAAGTTTCCTACAATGGGGGAAGGAACAAAGCAGCTCTGCCAAGGAACCTTCAGCAAAGGATTGCCAAGTACCTCCAGGAAACTTTCCTGGAGATCTCTCTGGAGGATTCCCCTGAGATCTCGGAATGCAGCAACACCCTGTTCTGCTGTACTGATTAGCTGCACAGGGAAATGTCCAGCTCAGAGAAACACAGCCAGCCTCCTGCATTTCTGTATCCTGAACCTACCTCCACACTACACAAACCACAGCCACTTACTTACTCACCGAACAGCAACTGCTGAGACTGGCTAGACACCTCCGGAGTGGTAAATTCAGAATTTTTTTGTAAAAACTTTTTGAGGTCCTTGGATTTTAACCTGAAACAAAAGGAACTGCACGTTGTGCCATGTGATGCATAGAACAATGCAGATTGTAAGAACCGCATGGCTGTGTTTTTCTCTCCTCCTGGCCCCTCCCCTCCTACCACATATCCCTCTCCATAGGTTTCAGGCATAGACTTTTGGATAAACCAAGACCTTTTAACACATGAGGGCTGTAATTGACTGGATTCAAAAGCATCATTTATGATTAGTTCTACATCAAAAAGGGACAGCAACTGATGGAGCTATGAATTCTGCCTGCTGCTGGGCTTTCTATCAAGCACTAACTGAGAAGAAGGGGAGCGGGAGGGGAAAATCCCAAGATCTGTAAGTAGCCAGACTTCCTTTGCCAATTATTAGAATTAGGACATAAAATTAACTGCTCAATAAATGTTATTGTCTGAGCTCATATCCACCACAGAGAAACAAAGTCCTGGAAGGAAGATGAGTTGTCTACCTTAAAATCAGATTCATTATTATCTTGTCATATTTTCACTTAACACTCCAAAAGCAGGACACAGTCTGTTCAAATTGCTTCTGCTCAGATCACCTTTCCTGGCTCCTAGCTGTGACTAAAGCCCCTTTCCTCTTGAATCCTGCCACTGGTTTCCCCTCCTCCACTGCAAAGAGCAAACTTCTTGCCCTTACTTTCAAAGCCTTTTGCAACTTAGCACCCGACCTCCGCAGCCTATTATCTTACCATGATTGACCCTAGCTTTGTTTTGTCAGCAGTGCCAGCCTCCTTTGCCCACTTATTTGCACAAGCACCTTTGCCTGTTGGAAAAGCCATGCATAGGAAAAACTCCTTGTCAAAGCCCATAAAGCCATTGCCTTCGTCGTCTTCAAATCTGCAATATATTGGGCAGGAACGCAGATCAAGGCAAGCGGTAGTGGATGAAGGGAGAGCTTTGGGATTTGTGTAAAGGTAATTTTTGAGTCCAGGCATCAGGAAAGGGCAACAGCTGAGAGTTGAATATTATCCCAGTGATACCTGGATAGCATCCAGGTGGGCATACAGTAATGCTATTCAGCACATTTATTATTTGATTTGTCTCTCCCTACTCAGGATAAAGTTCCATTGAACAGTAAGCATCTGGCCTGAGCCTCTAAACATGAGAATCACTAAACCTGAATTCTGACCTCAATGAGGCATAAATTGTTATCAGCCAGGCTTATGCCAGACCCAACAATGAGGCAGAAAACAAGGCCACATTTTTCAAAAAAGATGCCTAACATGAGGCGTCTCAATCTGTATTTAGGCTGCTAAATCAGTGACTTTCGTTTCAAAAGTGCTGAGTACCCAGCTAATGTTACTGACTTTAATGGGAGCTGCTGGGGACTCTGCACTTTTGAAGATCAGGCCACTAATTTAAGTGCTTAAATAAGAAGATATGAGCCTAACTTTTGGCATCTATTTTTTTTAAAACTGTGGCCTAAGTAAATTGAAACTGGGACAGGATGAATTAAATTGAGCTGTCTATTTGTACTCTGCAGTTTGGGAGGCCTCTGCAGTACAGAACACAGCAAATATATGGCTAACAAGCTGTTTCCACATAGATGCAGTTGTGAAAGACTTTCTGTTGGTCACGTCTACTTCTTGTTTGAAAAGGAAAAAAGGGAAGCAGTCTGTGACTAGTGGGGAGAAGAGAGACAAGAAGCCGGGCTGTGGCAGTATGGGGCGTTGGCTTGACATTGTTAGCACAGAAAGAGGTTCTGGGCTGTCAGCTGCAGAGAGCGAGCAAACACTCATCAAATAGCGAAACAAGCAGGAGGCCTGAGGCAGGGCTTTCTGAAATGGGGGAATGCTTAGCAGGCTGTTCCTGCTGCAGAACTGCTAGCAGAAGCAGATACTGAAATGATATCCATGAGAATATCTATATAGATTTCTGCATTTTGTACCCCGGTCAACGGATAGTAGAGGGTCAGAGCAGCAGCCCTGACCACCTGACTCCTTGCCACGAGGGCCCAAGGCCAGTTCTGAGCGCATCAGGACTTTTCCGCCCTCTTACTTGCCCCGGGTCAGACTCTGTGGTGAGTACTAGAGCCACTGCTGCTCCTGATATTGATGGAGGAAATTGAAACGTACTTGTATTAGAAACAGATGAGCAGAGTGTAGAGATGAGTCGGAATTGCCCTGAGCAAATGGCAAGACTGATGTAATTAGCCAGGCCTGTTTGTGACTTTTTTGTTTATGGCTCATATTAGGGCATTTACCATAACTTAATAAAATGTTAATATGAAAACAAAAATTGAAGCTAGGCCTGCACCTAAACCTTGGATTTGAGCACCCCGTTGAGCTTTTCAGCTGCCCCCTAGATCTGCAATAGGCCAAAGCAAAATGTCGGAGCCTGATTCTCCTCTAACACTGGTTTTACACCAGTGTAACTCCATGAAAGCCAATGTAATGATTTACAATGGTGTGAAAGCTTCCCTGGATAGAAAAACTTTCTCTTCCTCTTCTCTCTCCTTTTTCCTGTCCCCCAACTTTGCAGATGATCCAAACTCTAATAATGAGCTGAACCAAAACTCCAGGTCTGATCCTTCTCCTGAATGTTGAAGAATATTCAGTCTGGATCTGGATTCTGTGTCTTGGCGTGGTGGTGGTGGTTGGGGGGGGGAGAGGGGAACACATTGATTTTTGTGAAGCTATTATCTTGGATTGGGTGGATTGGGGCCCCAGAATAACTCGTGTGTTCATTGGTTGCTCATGCATTGGCCTTTGTTATTGTTATAAGTGGGTTTACACTTACACTTGGTTAATGGGAGGGCCCAGAGATCTGACTTTTTTGAGTTACCTTTCTTAATTCCTAAGCTTACATTTTGCTTAAACTCTTTATCACTGAGTGAAGCAGCCACAACCTCTGCTCATGCATCTGGGCTGTTCTCTAGGAAGGGGTGGAGTAAGGCTTAAATGGGGCTGAGATCCATCAAAATCTCAGGGCTTACTCAAAAACGTATCTCCACTCTCAGCCAGATTCTTCCTCCTCCTATTGCTCCCATTCTGTTGATCCATCTTCTAGACTCCTTTGCATTTGTGACAGCAGCAATCTGCTGACTTGTGTCTGCTGCTTCTAAATGAAAAATTTGGTGGCTCTTTCCACGTGTCTTGGTCATTGGTGTTATTCAAATTTGGGAGAATCATTACCTCTCTCACAGCAGTGTTGTAGAGCCTTTTGAGATACTCAGTAGTCACGTGCTTTAGTGAAAAGCATTATCGATTTTTATTTTATTAATTAATGACAAATTAATATAAAACCCTCTTCCACTCTAATACCTATAAGAAACAATAACAGCCAAGATATACAGTCTTTGGGACTGGGACTGCATATTGCATGTTGTGTGAGGCATTTTGCAAACATAGAGGTACACAGTCCCAGTATTGTGTACCGTACAATATAAAATACAAAGGCAGATGAAGGGTGGATGGTAAGAGATATAGAATGCAAGAAAAGTGATCAGAGCATATAACTTATTAGTTGCAGATTTGTTTCTTAATGTTATTGAAACAAACTATGAATGAGAAGCAACCCAAAAAGAACCAAGAAACAAAAATGGAACATGTTGAAAATGGAGTATTATCCAATCGAGATACTATGGTCTTGTTCCCTGTGTTTCAATTAAAGAAATTATAGTCATGCAGCCAAATTTTCAAAAACGGCTGCCGATGTTGGGATGCCTGTGTTGTTTATCCTTTCTCGTAACACAGGAACTAAGGGTCACCTGATGAAATTAATAGGCAGAAGAATTAAAAGAAACATAAGGGAGTACTTATTCGCACAAGGCACAGTCAACCTGGGGAGTTCATTGCCATGTGATGTTGTGAAGGTCAAAAGTATAACAGGGTTAAAAAAAGAATTAGATAAGTTCATGAAGGCTAGGTCCATCCATTGCTATTAGCCAAGCTGATCAAGGATGCAGCTCCAAGCTCCAAGTGCTCCAACACCTCTGACGGCCAGCAGCTGGGACTAGACAACAGGGGTTAGAGCTCTCAAAATTGTCCTGTTCTGTTCATTCCCTCTGAGGTATCTGTTCATTCCCTCTGAGGTATCTGGCATTGGCTACAGTCAGAGACAGGATACTGGGCTAGATAGATTATTGCTCTGACCCAGTGTGGACATTCTTACATTCTTATTCCTCAATTTTTGGATGATCAGTTTTACTTCTTGGGCCTGGTGTTCAGAACTGCTCTGCACCCGAAGCTCCCATTGATTTCGGTTGGAACTGTGAGTATTTCATGCTGAGTAAAAGACTTCAGCCCTATGATAAGGGTGAAACTTTTGTGAAGGTGCTGGGGCTGCGGGGAAGTGGCCCAGGGAACTATAGCAGCATAGTGGCTCGTTAAAAGGGACACAGAAGTATGTGGCTGCTATTCATACGGTCCCTGGGCTGGGACCTGGAGTAGTGGGTGGGCCTGGCTCCTCCCACCAGCTACTAGGGAAGTGGAGTTGAGAAGGGGCTGAATATTGAACAGTAAATACCTCCAGAAGAGGATCAGATGGTTTAGTGGCCCAGCTGGAGACCTGGGACCAGAAAGGCCCAGAGCAGGTGAGGACACTGCCTCCAGGGAGGAAGCTCTGGGGGTATGGCCCCATACCAGAGCTGGGAGTTTTAATGACACTGAACAATGGATGGGTACTGGGATGGGCCCTTGTAGTACTGTATATCCCAGAAGGGATCTGTTTTGTTTCACATACAGACTGTGTGTGTGTGTGACTCGGCTGAAGCACTCTGGCATTCTGAAAATTAGACTATTTAAGGTGTCTCATATTGGCCTCTTCAAACTGGAAGCACTGAAAATCAGTGACCATTTCATAAAATTTTGGCCAAGTGTACTGCCACAGTCAAAGGGTTTGTCTCGAATAGGATGAAAAGTAGGGCTGGTCAAAATTTTTGCATCAAAACTGGTTTTGATGGAAACTTGGGGTTTTGACTGAACAAAATTTTTCATGAAAGTATCTGCCTCCTGTGGAAAATTTCAACTTTTTCTCAAAAAACCTGAACATCTGAAATATTTTTGTCAAAAAGATGAAAAATTTCTATTTGGAAATACCACCACGGTGCCTCATAGGAAATTGTAGTCTGGATGACCCAAACTGCCATTCTCCTTTCTTGGCCAGGTTCCCCAAGTGGATATGATCCACCATAGCCAAGGACTCTAGTGATGCGCCATGGGGGGGTCAACAAGAGGGGAAACCATGGTGCATTATGGGAGATATGGCCAGGTAGCCAGACTGATAGAGGAGAATAGGGGCACAAGGCACCCAAACTACAACTCCTATGCGGTACCGTGGCAGTATTTCTGAATAGAAAATTTCAATTTTCAGTTGAAAGTTTTCAGACAAAAATGTTTGGGTTTTGATTTGTTTGTCAAAATTAAAATTTTCCATGGGAATAAAAACCATTTTCTGAGAGCTCTAATAAAATACGTTGTTTTAGTATGTATTAGCTAGCACACTAAAGTTTGGTTCCCCCTTCAGCTTCATCTTGACCAGCTAGCTAAAATAAAACTTTTGTATTACCCCCCCTCTAGTTAAAAAATTGAACTGGATCTTAATATTATTAAACCCTCTAGATCCACTTCAACTGTATGAAATAACTGCTTCCTTCTTCACTGTTAATGTAAATAAAATTATGATCCTGCAAACCTTACTCAGAGTGATAATCCTTCATCTGAGTAGGCCAGTTGGGCTACCTATGTAGGTATAAATTATGTGAGAGAGGCTTTGTAAATATGGACCTTAAGGCTGAGATTTTTTCATAGATTCCAAGGCCAGAGTGGACCACTGTGACAATCTAGTCTGATCTCCAGTATAACACAAGCTACTACTTCCTCAAAATGATTCCTAGATCATCTTTTAGAAAAGAAATCCAATCTTGATTTAAAAATTGTCAGTGATGGAGAATCCACCATGACCTGTGGTAAATTGTTCCAATGGTTAATTACTCTCACTGTTAAAAATTTACGCCTAAATGCACCTAAGTGACTTCAAAAGTCTCAGCCTACACAAATAAAATAAGAGACACACCATGGGCGTTGTGTCTCTTTACTGTTCACTGTCTCACTTTTTGTCAGGATGCATCAAGATGGAAAAAAGCTAAAGCACTTTAATATGCATTTTTATTTCTTAAAATATCTTGTTTAAGAGACCCCTTTGTAATTCCAAAATAAAGACAGGCAGAGTGGTGAACCTGACATGCATCCAACGAAGTGGGCATTCACCCACGAAAGCTTATGCTCCAGTACGTCTGTTAGTCTATAAGGTGCCAAAGGGCTCTTTGCCGCTTTTACAGATCCAGACTAACACGGCTACCCCTCTGAAACTTGAACCTGTGTAGGTACTGATTCTGGCAGGATTTTTCATCTGTGAAATGGTCTGAGAGGGGAGGAAGCCTTTTATTAACTTAACATATCTTAATGGTGCTAGTAACAAAGTTAAAATGAAATTCATCTCAGCAGGAAACTTGGACCCTGGTGCCTTTTGTCTGTTCTGTTTTGTCCATGGTCAGCTGCATTCCAATAATAGGAGTGTTTGGCGACGCTGCTGACATCAGCAAACGAAACCCAATATCACTCCCTGCGATACTGTTGACTGGTTTGAAGAGAGCCTTTGTTTTCTGAAGATGTATAGCAATCAAGAGCAACAAATGGAACAAATTGCATAATAGATTACTCAGGGAGTTCTAAAAGGCAAATCAGACTGTTTGTACTTAATGTACCCGATCTCCCCCCTGCACCCCCTCACCCTTTTGTGTCACCAATCACTAACTGCATCAGTTTCTTTCCCTTTTGTTTTAAATGGTGATCCCAGGGCTTTCTGTGCTCAATCAGACAAACACTAACCAGGAGGTAATTGACTTATGCTTCAGCTGCAGGAGCTTGGAAAGAGCTGTGTTGTAATATAGGAGCAGGACAGAGCACTTTGATTGCTACAACAAAACTGTCCAACCTCCTCAGGCTCTTAGGTTCAGAACATGAGGAAACCTAAAGTGGACTGGCCACCGAAAGCAGGAAATCTGCTATAGCATAATCC